GTCTCGGCATCCTGCGGGGCGGCGCTCACGGCCTCTGCTTGTGCCTCCTGCGGTATGTCTTCGACTTGTGGGACGCCTGCGGGTACCTCTTTTTCGACTTGCGGGACGCCTGCAGTACCCTCCTCCTCCCAGTCCGTCTCGAAACAGGGGTCTGAGGAATCCATGTTGTGCTCGTTCAGGTGGTTGCGGGCATTGGGTGCTTCAGTGAGAATGGCCTGCCTGGCACGGCGGTCTTAGGTGGGGCTTCGGCGCTGGGAGCAGGGGGCTGGCCCCCTGGGACTTGGTCGTCGTTATGTCCCTGGTTCTTCTGCTTTGTCGAGCGAGGGGCAGGGGGCCGTGAACGCGCAAAGGGCGGGGTAGGCTCGGCACAGGGCGCGCCTATGCCGTCGCCGCGGATGGTGTTTTCTGTCAGTACGCCTGCAGTTGCCAGGTCGCTCCCAGTGGTATCGTTGGCCTGGGCAAGCACCAGCCTTGCGGGTATGGGCGTGGCCTGCTCACTCCCGCTTGACTCTCCGAGCGACGCGTGCCTAGGGGGGGGGCGCGGTGCCGGAGGAACCTGGGAGCCTTTTCCTCTCTCGGACCCTGCGGCAGCGGGCGGTGCGGTGCGCCCTTGCCCTTTGCAGCGCTGGTCAGGCACATCCCACGGTGCAGGAAGCGGGAGAGGTCATCTTGCCCTGCCTCGCAGTGGGCCGTTAAAAAGGTATCCAGCGTGGACCAGCTGCGCCATCCGGGATGGTGGCTGAGCCTTGGGGCATCCTCCGCGATTTCATGAAAGCAAGCTTGTGGTGAATTCATCTTTCTTGAGCCCCGCAGACCTTCGCGGAGTTCTGCTTGTGGCTCCCTTGTGACGGTTTGGAACCGTTTTGGTGCCAGCTTGAGCGGTCTTGGGCACCTCTTGTGCCATCTCAGCTGTTTGGTCGTCGCCTTGTGTCTTCTGAATGAATTTGAGCGCGTCAGGGAGCACTTCTGGGGCAGATGAGTCAGCCAAGAGGATTAGGCAGGACCCACTCCGCTTTCACATCGGCCAGACCTGGCTCCCAAGGGAGAGGTTTGGCAAGTTTGAGGATGGTCAGCAATCTCATGCGCCGTGCAGCCCCCAAAGAAGGGCACCGCGGGGCCACTCGAGTAGTATTCGAGGCTTACACCTGGGATGCCGTCCAGTGCGGCCTTGCGAGCTCTCCTGGTTGACCGTTCGATCAGTATGAGTTTCTCGGAGACCGCTCGAGGAGCGTCGGGCCATTCGTGGTGTGAATGGAAGAAGGGGGGGTACACGCTCGTGGGCGCGAGTGCGGTAGGAGGAGCTTTCAAGAGTTGGTGAAATCCCTGCCTGGCAGCACTTGGCATTATGGTACGTCCCAGCGTGAAAGTGCTACTTGCAGGTGGACGTTTCATACATTCAGAGGCCTTTCTGATTCCGTTCTGTGGCCTTTCTGGTAGCTCGGACGATGGAGTGCCATTCATTTTCAAGCGGGGCTCTCGCTTGAGTGGCAGGTCCACGGGGCTCTCGCCTTTCAAAGTTGGGCCTCCCATAGCGGAACCTTGTAGGAATTTCAGATGCGGGGTCTTGCAGCGTCGTTGATGCCGTTCTCTTCCTCCTTCTCCTCCCTCTCCTTACTCCTTCTTAACGCGTGCTCCTTCTTTGCGGCCTAGCCGGCTGATAGCGATAACATCCAGGACGATCCATCCATCTACTTGTAAGACGCGGTGCGGAGTCGTTTGTTTTCTCTGGGCATTGCCCTTCGGTTGTCGACATTACAAACCCTTCGGAGTCGATTGCATGCGGCGCACATCCCGCGCGAGAGGGCGAAGTGTCGCTCTCGCCTCGGCGCTGCTCGCATTCTCTCGCGATGCTTGAGCTCCCGCTCGGGCGCGGCGCACATTTTTTGCTTGTCAAATCGTCGAGAAACTGTCGCTCTCGCTATGGCGGCGCGCGGATTTCGCCTGGAAGTGAGCGGCGCTCCCCCCTTCGGCGTGGCGAATATGTGCCACTCGCCAAGATTCGGGGCCCCGCGCGAGCGGGCGACTTGTCGCTCTCGCCCACGCTCCGTGCACATTTGGCTTCGAAGTGGCTTTCCCGCATGGGCGCGGCGCACGTTTCGCTCGCCGAGCCTCATGAAAGCGGCAGCGGCAGCGGGGCCGCGCGCGAGAGGGCGAAGTGATGTTCTCGCCCACGCGCCGCGCAGCTTGTGTGTGTGTGTGTGTGCTGTGTGTGTGTGTGTGCTGTGTGTGTGTGTGTGTGCCGTGTGTGCTGTGTGTGTGTGTGTGTGTGTGTGTGTGTGTGTGTGTGCTGTGTGTGTGTGTGTGTGTGTGCGTGTGTGTGTGTGTGTGTGTGTGTGTGTGTGTGTGTGTGTGTGTGTGTGTGTGTGTGCGCGTGCGTGTTGTACGACCTGTCGCCGCGCGAAGGGCCGCGACGCCAACACAACGAGAGCGTGTGTACTGTGTTTTCCGCAGTTCCTGACTCGACCCAGCTCCAGCCTCATCCTGGAGGTCTCTCCCGAGTGGCGGATGCCGTTCCTCGACGCCCTTGCGACGCTCGCCGCCGCATGCGTGCCTCTGGACGCGCCCTTCGGGCCTGTTTGGCGCCGCCGCCCGCTGCTCCCCGCCACTGCCCGCTGCCCGCCGCCCTCCGCTGCCCCCCCACTGGCCAGCGCTTCTCAGTATCGTTTAACCGATCCCCATCCCCATGCTCATCCCTTTCGAGACCCCCACCAAATTACACCCCCAGTTGGGGATGCACCCCTCGAAACCCGAAGGATACGGCCCATATCCCCATCTAGGGGGGTAAATCGGCCAGTGGGGCCCAGCACACGCTGGTGGGGATGGGGGATCGGTTAAACGATACTGAGCTTCCCCCCTTTCGGCGGCGAGCGAGGGGGAGAAGTTCTCCAGGAGAAGGCCTGGTCAGAAGGCGGCGGGGCTTCTCAGACGCCCGCCAGCCGTCTGCGAGGTTTTTTCCGTGTCTTCGGGGAAGGCTTCGAGCATTTTCCAGAGGGCCGGGGGATTTCCGAGCCTTTGAGAAGGCCCGCCCTCTCTCGCTTCCCCCCCCGGGCTCGCGCTCGCCTAGGCGAGGTCACCCTTTTGCTCGGCCTGCCTGCTGCGACAGGCGTGGTCGTGGCTTGGCAACGTCCTAGCCCTGGCCCTTCCTCTTGGGCGAGAAGAGCCTCGCCCAGGGGCCCGTCGTGTGGTGGCGCAAAGGCGCTGACTGCTCGAGCAAGGTGGTGGAGGGAGCCATCTGGAGTGTGAATGTCAAAGAAAACCGACCCTTGCGTGTGTCTGGGCAGCCTGAAAGGGGTCCACGTAAAAGGTGGTGGTGGCACAGGACGCCCTGGCACCGAAGTCTGTCACGGGCCCGTGCGGAAGTGGTCGCGCCCTTCCGCCGTTCGCTGCAACGCCTGCTGGCGAGCGGCCTCGGGTCGTGCAGAGAGTTCATGCAGACGGCAGACAGGCGTCTCAGGACGTTTTTGAAGGCTTCGGCGGTCCACCTGTGAAAGTAGTCGCATCAAGAGTTGGTGCGCTTGGCATGGAGTGATCCCCCCAGCACCGCGCGCGTGTTGCAGCTACATCTGCGTCAACCTGGTAAGCAAACACATCTGGCTGGCTCACCAGGGTTGATCCTTGGTAGTTGTGTTCTGTCTGGCTTAGCCCAACTTGGCTCGTGAACGGCCGAGTGGCTCCTCGCCGCACCCGCGTGCGCCCGAAAGTGTGCGTATGTGACATGCTGGCAGCTGTGGGGCTCGCGCTGGGGATCCGCACTGGGTGCCACTTTCAAGCTTCGGTCCTACGCGAGGGCTGACCTTGCAGACATTGGCACCCGTGCGGCGGAGGGAACTCCATCCCACAGTGTCGCCTCGACAGGACAGCTGCCATACATGATCTGTACTTCTCTGGCTTCACGCCCCCTTCTGGGCTGATAATCTCTTGACCCCCTCATCAAGATGCAGGTTGGTGAATACGACGTGGTCCTCTTCTCTTTCACGCGGACTAGCGACCGGGGCGTCGCGGGGCACGTGACTTGCAGATGAGGTTCCAAAGTCGGCCACGCCCGCGCGCGTATTCACCACGTCGTTGTGGGCGACGCCCGCATATTCCAATTGGGCTCCGAAGGTTCGTCGCCTCAGTTCCTCCGTGCCTGCCAGGGCGCAGGGCTCGTGGCCAGGTTCGAGTACAGCAGCAGCGAGATCGCTCTGAGGCCCATGACCCTTCCCAGACAACCCCGCCATTTACGTGGTCGCCGCGGCAAGGCTACCCCACTGGTTCCCAGAAGACTGGCCCCCATGCAGGGCTGGGATCGAGACTTCTCCGAGGTTGTCAAAGTCGCGGGCCGATCATAATCGAGGCGAGGTTCTCTGATTCGAGAACCCTCTGCGCGTCTTTCCTCGGCCAATCCTCCCAGATGTGAAGCCGTGGCGGCGAGAACCCCCCAGGGACCTAGATAGGGTAAGTAACATCCTGAACCTCGATCCTCCTCCTGCTCTTCCTCCTCCTCCTCCTCCTCTTATTCTTTTTGTTCGACAGCCGCGTGTGCAGCACCGCGGCGAAACCGCCGGAACGCAGCCGACGCGCGCGCCCGGAGGATTCAGCACGGCAGCGGAGACGGCTTCAATTTGGCATGTCCCAGAGGCTGCTTCGCCCGCCCGTGGAGAACCACACGGGGCCAGACGATGCCAGCAGATCGCGACAAGCATCCATGCACCTTTTCCTCCTCCTCCTCCTGCTTCTCCTTGTCTTCGTCGTCCTCGTCCTCCTCCTCCTCTTCCTCCTCCTCCCTCCTTCCTCCTCCTAGGGGATTCAGTAATTGTCCACTCCCCGTTTTTCATGTTTCCTGGTTTTGGATCCTTGCTCTAGGGGTCGGATGCGCTGGCGCAACGGGCATCGCTGGTTCTCGCTTTAATTTGGGCGGCGCTCCCTCAGCTGCTACTTCGTGTAGGCGCTTCCGTGAGTAGCCGGTCCGATCCGATCCCTCCTCCTTTCTTCCCCCCCCCTCGTGCCTCCCTGAGAAGGTGAAGCGGAGGGTCGAGCAGCTGCTGGCGCCCCGTTTCGAGGCCTGGGCATCTCGGTCTGGCCAGGCGTTGTGCTTCAACTACCCGGCCGCCTGGCGGCAATTCCCATGTCCTTTCGTCGTCGTCGTCTTCTTCCTGCTCCTTCTGCTCCTCCTTCTCCTCTTCCTCCTCCTGCTCCTCCTCCTCCTCCTCCTCCTCCTCTCTCCCTCTATCTCTTTCTCCCTCTCGCCCTTTTCTTTCTCTTCCTCCTCCTTCTCCTCCCTCCTCCTCGTTTCCGTCACCCTGCCATTGCAGCGTATGGCTCTCTATCGCCGCTGCATCACCAGTTATTTAATCGCTTCGCTCATTCCGCCGGCCCTGGAGCGCTATTTGGGGCCTCTTGGGGCCGTCTTGGGGGCCTCTTGGGGGCTTCTTAGGAGCGTCTTGGGGCTCCTTGGCGGCGTCTTGGGCCCCCCGGGGGCCTCTTAGGAGGCTCTTGGGGGCCCCTTGGGGCGGGAGGGGGGGTAGTCGATTGCAGCCACCCCCTTGGAGGCCACGATCCTCGTGAGGGGTGGCGAAAAATAGCTTCCCCTTGGGGATCGCCGGGGACCGGGGGCCGGGGTACTTCTCGTCCGGGGGCCCCCAGGGGCCGCCCCGCGCGGGCGAACAAGAAATATTGTTAAGTAGTTACCGGAGATCTTAGCACGCCTCTGGCCCTTTGGGCCGGCGAATTCTTGCGACCACACCAGGCCAACACCTGTTCCTTGGCAGATTGTTGCGCTGGACAAATCCTTCTGCTCTTAAACCTCCTTTCCCTCATCTGGTTCGCCCTCGTCGTTGTCGTCGCCCTCCTCCTCCGCCTCCTGCTTCTCCTTCTTTTCCTCCTTCCCCTCCCACGGCAGGCTCATGGCGTGTCGACGCGGCAGCGACCCCAGCTCGGCCGTTCAAGGTTATACGCAGCCTGTGGCCAAGAGTCGGCCGACATCGAAGGATCCGCGCTATCGGAAGGCCTCGGTCGTTCAAGGTGGAGCGAGCCACGCTGTGTCAGAAACGAACGCAGACGTCGTCACGACAAGAACTTACACAGCACTTATAGGACAGCTTCGATCAGAGATCGTACCAGTAGACCTACTTAGCCCTACTAGTACGCCCCGCGGCACTACTGGTACGCGAGCATATCCTTACTCGTACGATCGAACGTACACAGTGTCGGCATACCAGTGTGCCAATGTAGCCGTATCCGCACGTCTACCCATGCACATCGCCGTCGTATTCGGAGCCCGATGTAGCCATACTCGTACGCCAACCCCTGCACGTCGCCGTCGTACTCGTACGCCTACGTAGCCGTGCTCGTAGTCCACACTGCAAATCGATGCCGTATTAGTCCCTACGTAACCCATTCGTACGCCAACCCTTGCACGCCGCCGCCGTTCTCGTACGCTTATGTAGTCCTACTCGTACGCCCGTCTCTGCACGCCACCGACGTAGTAGTAGCCCGACATAGCCGTACTCGCACGTCCACCCTTCCATTTTGCCGCAGTGCCAGTAGGACTACGTAGCCGTATCGTCCGCCAACTCTTGCACGTCGCAGTCGTACTAGTACAGAACACCGCCGTCATACTAGTACGCCTGCATAGCCCTAGTCAACCCTGATTCCGCGATGTTACCTCACGGACACTTTGTCGAAGCGCGGGGCGATTTGATCCTAGCGCGGGGCCACCCTCACCATGACCCCAATTAAAGGAGGCTCCCCACCGGGCCCCCGGGCCTGACTGCGGGGATCAGGATATGGTGGGGTGACCGATTCAGAGAGTGGGCTATCCACGAGGCACTTAGCCTGGAGGACCCGCTGGGCAACGTCATCACCAGGGGTGACTAACAGTTACCAGGACTCGTTCAAGAAGTTGTGCGACAGCGTTTACTACATGTGGTCCGAAACCTACCTCGAAGGCCCACCGGCGTGGCGTAAGGTACTGACGCATTCCCGCAGGGACGAACACACGATGATTAGGTAAGACTAGTGATGGCCATTCAAGCCAACTTTCCCGACGACATCGAAGGTCACCGTGGCCCTACGGCCCCGAGACACATTTCCCGCCTGTTGTATGCTTGGGATATCGGTGACATAACGCAGGTATATATCAACATTATGCCCAAGCTCCAGGATAGAGAATGCAGTAACATGATGGTCACCTGGTTTGGAATCTTTTGGACAGGCAGCACCACCGTACTGGCTATCAAAGTGCTCTACAGCGGTTCAACGATCTATAACGTTTACTGGGCCATTCAAACATGCGTGTTTGTAGTCTGGTTCCTAACCAGAGAGCTGGCGATGGTGTTGATTACCATTGGCGACGGTCTGGAGATCTATTGCAACAACTTCGACGCGATTGTCAGGAAACCTCACAGGTATGGAACTAAACTGGTGGAAGCGCCAGAGCTAACATGTTACCGTACGGCGCTATCCGTAGCGATGTGAAGGCGAGCGCAGTTCAGGCAGATATATACCCGATGGGGAGAAACCTGGCTCTACTACTATTCCCTTAACTGCGGCAGCCGGCTTGACGAGAATATCATACCTATGGCAGGCCCGAATCCCATCTGGTGACTATCACCTGAGAGCTATCAACCAAACTCGGGCTGTAAACCTCAGTCGGATACGGCCTGTGAGCACAGACGGGAGAGCCGTATCCTGAGGTGTGTCCCGCCACATGTCAGGTACCCAGATTTCACTTACTGGGAAGCAGTCGGCAGGTTCAGTGGGATCAGCGACCAGTCAGCCACGAAGAAGCCTAAGACTAACCTTTACATCTAGGAGCTTGGGCCGGCAGAGATGAGGGGGGATCGCGCCTGGAACGACGATCGCTACGTGGAGGAAGACGCGCGGGCGCGCATGTACACCAGGAAACGTAGCCGAGAGGAAGAATTCGCGCGCTTTGAATCTGGCAAGGCCCAGGGTAAAATGGGAGTGACCGAGGTCGACATCCATCCGACCCCAGCGGCCCTGACTGACAGCTAACCTTGATCATTTTTCTTCCCCCTTCCTCTGCAAGGGGTGTCGCGTGTTTAACCAAGGATGTTTCAGATGATTGTGTGCCACCTGCCATTTGTGACACATGAGAATAGGTGGGGATCCCGCCATACCGCAAGTCACGTTCTGCATTGCTATTTCATTTGCAGTGTGCTCACTGCCGAATTTCAGCCTTTTGTTCCACGCGTGCTCACGCTCGTGCGCTAACCTGTTTGCACATCTGTTAACGCTTTTTCGTTGGCACATTCGCGCTGTTGAGTTAGCCCTAGTTCCCAGCGGTAGCTGTGCAACATTGTATGAGGTTGCACGTTTATAACCACCTCTTGTGCTACCAGGTCGAAGCATGGTGTTTGGGTGCAGGCACGCAGCTACCGTGCAACTGCTAGCGTTTGGCTCAATATAAAAAACCGCCTCGCGGCGGTGGGGGACAGTTGCATACTCCTGCTCTCTCTGCTGGACTTTCATGATCCAGCCCTTAGAGTTGGATGCGGGTGATGATGGTGCTGGTGATTGTGATGGTTGTGGTGGTGATGATGGTGGCGGTGATAGCCATAATGCTGGTGATGCTGAAGTTGATGATGGTGATGACGACGAAGAGAAGGAGGAGGAGGACGAGGAGGTGGAGGAGCAGGGAAAGGAGGAGGAGGAGGAGGAGGAGGAGGAGGAGGAGGAGGAGGAGGAGGAGGAGGAGGAGGAGGAGGAGGAGGAGGAGGAGGAGGAGAGGGGGGGGCGCCCGCGGAACATTGCAGAAACACCCCGGGCAGACATCACGGGGGCATCCTGAGACGCCACGGCGTGCCATGGGAGCGCAGTGCCGGGCTGCCTGGCCAACAAGTACGAGACCGGGCTGCAGGCCCTCTGGCGGCAAGTCGGACCTGCTGCTGCTCCTCCGTCTCTTCTTCCCTTATGGGACGAGAGCGAGGACGAATATTAGGAGGAGGAGGAGTAGGAGTTGGAGGAGGAGAAGGAAGAGGAGGAGGAGGATGAGGAGGAGACGGATGATGATGAGGAGGATGAGGAGGATGAGGAGGAAAATAAACAAGTCGCATTACCCACTTTGCTGCGCCATCTCGTGCTTTATTTCGCAACTCGTTTTGAATAAAGCAGTGTGGTCTCCACCTCCTCCTCCTCCTCCTCCTCCTCCTCCTCCTCCTCCTCCTCCTCCCCTCCTCCTCCTCCTCCTCCTCCTCCTCCTCCTCCTCCTCCTCCTCCTTCTGTCCTGTCTCCTGTGTTCCCTTCTCCTCTTCTCTCGTGCCGTCTGCGATCTGCGCAACTGTCGGCACTTTCGTGGGGTCCTGGGAGGCCCAGCGGAGGTACGTCCCACGCGGACCACCACTATAGCTCGCGGTGCCCTGCGGAACTGTCGGCACTTTCGTGGGTTCTTGGGAGGCTCAGCGGAGGACCACCACTATAGCTCGCGGTGCCCTGGGGGGCTGCGATCTGCTCAACTGTCGCCACTTTCGTGGGGTCCTGGGAGGCCCAGCGGAGGTACGTCCGACGCGGACCACCACTACAGCTCGCGGTGCCCTGGGGGGCTGCGATCTGCGGAATTGTCGGCACTTTCGTGGGCTCCTGGGAGGCCCAGCGGAGGTACGTCCCACGCGGACCATCACTATAGCTCGCGGTGCCCTGGGGGGCTGCGATCTGCGGAACTGTCGGCACTTTCGTGGGCTCCTGGATGGCCTAGCGGAGGTACGTCCCACGCGGACCACCACTATAGCTCGCGGTGCTTTGGGGGGCTGCGATCTGCGCAACTGTCAGCACTCTCGTGGGTTCCTGGGAGGCCCAGCGGAGGTACGTCCCACGCGGACCACCACTATAGCTCGCGGTGCCCTGGGGGGCTGCGATCTGCGAAACTCTTGGCTTTTTCGTGGGCTCCTGGGAGGCCCAGCGGAGGTACGTCCCACGCGGACCACCACTATAGCTCGCGGTGCCCTGGGGGGCTGCGATCTGCGAAATTCTTGGCACTTTCGTGGGCGCCTGGGAGGCCTAGCGGAGGTACGTTATACGCGGACCACCACTATAGCTCGCGGTGCCCTTTGGGGCTGCGATCTGCCAAATTGTCGGCACTTTCGTGGGCTCCTGGGAGGCCCAGCGGAGGTACGTCATACGCGGACCACCACTATAGCTCGCGGTGCCCTGGGGGGCTGCGATCTGCGGAACTGTCGGCACTTCCGTGGGCTCCTGGGAGGCCTCGCCGCCCCCTGGGGGG